TTAGGAATACAATGTTGTATAAAATTAGATTAATTATTTATGAACAACCCCTCTGTAAAACCCTTCAGAATATAAATGAAACCTGAAAGGCTTTCATGGTCATGTGGAACCACACATCGTGTCCTGTTCAGGTTTTGCTCTAAACCTCATCATATGATGTACTTCAGAGTGAGGAACTGAATGCAAACAGTACTGTCATGACTCATGACCACAGATCTGCACTTTTGGTGTTTTTACTCCATCTGTCCAGCAACACTGCTATTAACTGAAAGTAGCTACTTTAAACTTACAAAGTTCAAACGGATTCTCATGTTGCTCAAATAATTTCTTAAAAATTGTAAGTCAGTAAATGTGAAATCTTATCTTTCACAGGTCAGAGGACAAACATTCAGGTCTTATTTTCTGCAGCAAACAGACAAATTTAGCGTTTGTTGGTGGTAAAACTATAGTGAATTATACTCTATAGCTGGATTCTGATGAGTAAAATGTAACGAAAGTGGTGGGGTAACGCCCTGCTTAAGCAGTTAATTTATCTGGTCAGATATTTCAAACAATTAGCCTACTTTGTCAGACATGGAAATCATGATTTAAATTTTAAAATTCTAATATCATATGTACGGTATTATCATACAACTTGATCATGGATAAGAAAAAAAAAAAAAAAAGCCAACTAACATTATTTACCTTTTAAACATTTCGACTAAACAGATCATCACATGATTATTCATTTGCAGAAGAACAATATCTTTTATAGAGTCACAAACCAGTTCAACAACAGTCCTTTGATGGATATCATATGATTCACCAAAAAAATCTGAGGAAAGCATTGATAATAGCTGCATTTGAGAATAGCAGTCGTGGCCTAATGGTTAGAAAGTCGGACTTGTTTAACCCAAAGCGGGTTTGAGTCCCAGCACCGGCAGGGATTGTAGGTGGGGGGAGTGAATGACCAGCGCTCTCTTCCACCCTCAATACCACGACTGAGGTGAGACCCTTGAGCAAGACACCGAACGGACACCATACTCATCCACACGTCACATCACTTTTTTAAAATGTATTTTTAATTCACATTCATTCAAAAAGATCACTGCTGACTGATAACCACAAAAACATCAGTCGGAGATAGATAGATCGATAGATAGATAGTTAGATAGATAGGTAGAGTATTGTAAACATACAGTTATTCAGATGAAAATAAATGAATCTTAATGCTTTCAAATTTTTATACAAGTTGTAGTTTAGTCATGTCAGCAAACAGGAAGTGAAATATTTTCAGAGAAACTTTATTCAGCAGGATCTGACACACAACCTTCACTTGTTGCTTGTTTCCTTCTCCACTGCATTCACAAGCTTCATCTCTGCAGGTATGTAAAAAAAAAATTATGTTGTAGATGTTGTTGCACATGTATCATTGAGCCTATATTATATTGAGATATGTATAGAATAATTTTATTTTTTATTTACTTTTTATTGCATAGCCAAGTTCAAATTCTTGTTTGATTTTGTTGACAGTTAAAGGTTTTTACAGATGGATTTCTCTTTTTATCACTCCATAAATCAGAGAATACTGTTAATAACCTGACAAAAAAAAGTTTACCATGTTTTAGGAATAAAATCACACCATAAATCAGAAAATACTGTTAATAACTTATTGAAGAAAAATGTTTGGGGGATAAAATATTGTATAAAATCAGATTAATGATTTATGAACAAACCCCTCTGTAAAAACCCTTCAGAATATGAAACTGTAAAGTTTGCTGTAAGTGCTGCTGAAATGGAGGAAAAAAAACTCATTTTGAGAAAATGGACTTTAAAGATATGCATTTTAATTGAAATCTAAAGACAAAAATAGATAAAGTGTAATAAAAACTTAAATGTGTATATTGGATGTCTTCTTTCACACTAGTCTGAAATGAGACAAGATATGAAAGCAAAATTACCCAAAATTTACCAAAACTTGTCTATTTTTGCCTTAATAGACAACTGTCATAGGGGAGACTGGGATTAGTTATCATTAGGGTTTATAATTTAGCAATAACCAGGTTTTGAGTCAAAAGTCCAAATACACAAATACTAGCAGCGGTTTGAAAACTATCCTAATTAGGAAAACATCTGTGAAAAAAAAAGAGCACATTAAAACTACACTGGCAGGAGCCACTATAAGTATAATGATGGATTTGAACTGAAATGTTGAACTGTTCTCAAGACGAAAGTGTTCATGCTTTTATGTGGTTTTATTTTAACCATTTATTGATTTCAGTCTCTTTTTTTTCTTACAATGCGGTGACATGTTTGTATGTTACATTTGACCTTTTTTATACTTGTTTTATGGTTAAAATTTAACTGAAACAAAAAAGAGATTAATATCCATTGTGAAAAACTTCCAACGTGTGACAACATGCCCGTCACCTGATAGCATGCTCTTGACCAGTTTAGACTTTGGTCACTCTCAGCCTGATTAATGCTCAGCTGCCATTGATTCTCATAAGTTTTCCTTCCTTTTAGGACTCACCATCCTTCAGTACTAAAGCAATGAAGCAGTCTTTTTCAGGAATTAGTAGGGTGAGATGTTTCCTAGTGTCTTGTGATTGTATCTATTTCAATAACAGAAGTGATAACCACAATGTCTGCCAGTTGTGAAGTCAATGTCATGTGATGTGCTTCCCATTCAGAATGCTAAACCCTTTTCATTTCGTTTCATTTTTTTGTAATTTGATAACATCTGAATCGTAGGTCTAGCAATGCACATGCAGTTATTAATTAGTCATTTATAGCAAACAAACACTGTATTATGTCTCACTGTCGTAAGAGGACATTTACTGCAGAGGCAAAGCAAGCTAGAGTTCTTCAGACTCTTCACTGGTCCATTTCCATTTTCCATTAAAAGCCCATAAACAGACCTAAGAATTACACCAAAAATCCCACAAACCGTAACAGCAATTGAAATGCCATTAAAGGTTATAGAGAGTCAAAACAAATACAATGTGTTTTGCAAAATGAAGAACCGCTGAACTTATTTGATACGTGGGTCTGATCAAAAGGTCTGTTTTTCCAATTGACACATATATAAAGGCTTTCTATGATGTTTTAATAAACTCATGTTATCTGGATTCACATTATCTCCAGAATCCTCCAGGTAGAGCATCTAAAAGAAAGCGAAGTTCAACCATCCCTGGAGAGAGAGAGACTATGTAAGATTTTACCATCATTTTCATCAGTTTTAGCACTCTATAATATTTAATTTCACAGTATGTTTTATTTAACATTAACTGATTGAAAAAATATTATTTAGGTTTTATATAAAGTAAAAACTTTCTTACTATAGTCTAATACACGGAAACAAAATTGTTGTAGGATTTACTTTGACAGTTTCACTCAGGAATTGCTGATTCTGATTCTAAATTTTACAAATAATTACAAATAAACAGATGGAGACAGAAGTAGTATTTTCTCGTAAAACATGCTCCAATAATCTGTTTTATTTAGAACTGCAAGAAAATCATTTTTAGTGCTTTTAAACTGTTTAAAAGTTGTAAACTTAAGGTTATTTTTGTATTTATCTAGACAATCAGCTGACTTACCATTCGACTTTCATTATGAAGAAAAAGTCATGATATGTAGCAATGATGCTAATGTCCTGACTACAGTCTCTCCTGCAGGTAATCATTTTGAAATTTGCTGTTCTGTTTACCTTAAATTGATCTTGTAATTTTTGTAATTCACTGACAGTATGAATCTAGTTTTAGATGATTTGATCAGATCACCTGCATTATATGTTAACTTATTTAGGGATGGCAAGTTCTTTGCACACACTCTCTCTCTTTCTCCAGATAACATCACCAGAGCGGTTTGAGATGAGCAGAAATAGAGATGCTCAGAGGAGATTATCACCTGAGAGAGTTGATCGGCCCAATGAAACAAGCACTGTGTAGAAGTTCCCATGTTAGATTGTGTAATGGGTGAATGAAGTATGCCTTAAATGCATCTTCTGTCAGGACCACTATCGTCAAATATGATTGACAATTAGCATAATTGGAAAAAAATGGCTCCTAAAATGTAAATGAATCTGAACTCGCAAACACACACACACAGTACCATTAATCATCACAGTTCACACAGGACATGTTCTGGCATTCAAAAGCATCAAGAAAGAGTGCAGCCAAATACACACGTCGTGAGGTGCGAAGTTCAAGAGTTTTTAACTTGACACACAGTATCAAAAATGTGGCACTTCTATCTATCTGCTGTGAAATGTTAAAAAACACACATGTAAAAAAAAAATCATCCCAAATCTACCGGCAAACTGACAAACCGAACTGAATGCATCTCTGTGGGCTGTATGTTAGTGACAGACTGATGATGCAAAAACTAAATATTGACTTCTTCAAACCCTTTTCATAACATCTGTTCACAGCTTTCATCTGCAACACCAGCTACATTTACAGACAACCAAATAATCTGTTTAAAATTGGATGTATGGCTCAATCGGCCTTCATGTAAACACTTCAATCAATCCTATGCATGTGCTGAAGTTTTGTTCAGAATACATGTAATGCAATGGAAATGAATATGTGAATCGAATTGCAATGTTTAGGGTTCATATAAACAGAATTGGATTTGATTCATTCTGATGAACAAAAATTAGTTCATGTAATTAAACATACCTGATGTCTTTGAATATTCTTAATTAGGAATTGTTCTCAGCTGTGTTTATATCAAGTACTGATACATGTGATTATTTGTAATATGCTGTGATGACTTTAAAATAATTTAGGCTTGAATCATAACCACATGTAATTGTTTATGCTTCTTGTTCTCTTGTTACACCAATAAAATTTGTGAACTTTCTAAATCGCTGAAAGGGTGTTTTGTAATCACTAGTTTAGATCATCTACTCAACCTCAAATAGATAAACATGACTGAATTTAACATGACATGAATAAAAAATACTGAATGATGTCTACAGCCTTTGTGTATGTATTTATAATAAGGATAAAATGTCATGATTGTAAATGAGTTTATTCCTGGGACAGACGATACACTGTTTAAAACACTGACTTCATTTCATTAAAGTTTGTTTTCAAACACATTCAATGAAATCAAGGCACAGCTCTGTTACGATCAGCCTTTAAGAGCTTTATCAGTTCTGTTTTTTAACAGATTCAAGTTAAGAGTGGTAGAAAAATGAACAGCCAAAATACTTGAAAAAAATAAAAACTACAGAGACAGAATTAAAAATGAGTGGATGCACCATCAGACGGTTCAGAAGAAGTTTTTGCATCATCAGGTTTGGAGCTTAGCTGGAAAACACACACATATTCACACTTGAAAAAAGGTAATGATATAAAGTATATAATGTACGTGTGGTGCATGATAGGAAACTACAATATTTCAGATCAGGACGCATTATGAAGTACCTGAGGCGATAGTAAATCAGTCACAGTAACAGTTCAAAGTGTTTTATCCCAGAATTCACAGTGGTTGTGGTTTGTTAAATCTCTGTCGAGTGTGTTACCTTGGATTTAAAGAGCAGGTTTATGACTCCTTTGGAGCGACGGTCACCGGTGCGGTCAGATGGCAAACACATTGAAACGCTTTTACTGTCACGCTTGGATCGCGCTGACTCCACCTCCTCACTCCCATTGGCTACTGACAGAGACAGACCTGAGGACAGTGTGGGAAATTAGCTGTCTGTTGATATGGACTACTTCCTGTTTTGTTGTAGAGAATTTTGGTATCCACAAAACAGGAAGTCATAAAGATACAGGCTTCATAAAGATACATTTTTTCCCACATTAATAAATGGCAAAAGTTTAGGGTTACTAAACATACAAAATAAATTTAATTAGCCAAAATTAAAAACAACAGAAGTCAATACGAGAAACCACTATGATATGAATCAAGCGTTTGTGAATGTTGTACTAGGGTTGGGCCGATAGACGATGCCATCGTCCATCGCCGATGGCTGATAGACATCACGATGTTGAGGAGCGGCAGTACTTGCCACACATTTTACAAGATTATATGTTTGTCAGTGGTACTGAGGATCTGCAAATCATTCGCCATCGTCCTCAGTCATCTCTCCTTACTCTGTTTATGTGGTAAGTGAAATTTTATGTACTGTAATGTCGCGCCTCGCCACACTGGAGCGACAAAGCGACCGTTGAAAATAATTAGAAATTTGTGTCAGCAGGTCATAAATAGAACACGGCAGCAGTTTACTGTCTTTGTCGTGTCGCGCCGCATCCAGTGTAGACAGCATCACTGATTATAATGAGTTCTATAGACTGATCTATATATAATAAATCTCTATTACATATCAGTGGTTCTATAGTATTTTGTCGCGCCGCTCACGTCCGGTGTAGACACGGTGTTAGGAATTGTGTTTTCCCTTATAAGGATTCACGCTTCGGGCACCCCTAACTCCACCTCCCACGATGTCATCGTCCTTCGCGATGTTTCACTGTAGACATTGTCTGATGCAAATTTTGTAGACATCGCCCAACCCTATGTTGTACCTGTAATAGTGGGCAGAGATCTGGAGTTGACGAGGCCGCCGCTGCTGCTCTCACTCGGCTCTGACAGATTCGTGTCACTGCGAAACTCCTGCTTCTTGGAAAGCTAGAGAGAGACAGAGAGTAAAGATCATTATAGTATTATTACAATCACTACGGAATAAAAACACAAACAGGTTAATAAACCTACAAAAATAATCAATTAATTAACTTACGGAGTAAATGTGTTTCAATGTGTCTGAATCGTTTTTATTAAATAAAATTAATGAAATAAATTAATAATTACAACATTAAGATATTTGATTAAAATCTGCATGAATTTGTATATTTTACGTGCTGTAACTGATCATCATTTTAAAAATATTTTTCTTCTATTTTTAATCACCATTTTGCCTTCACTACTTCATTTTAATTGGTCCTGCGGTGTGATACATCAACTTTTAAAGTACAAATATTCCATGTAGTGTTTCAATTAATATGAGCTCATAATAGGGCTGGACGATATGGCCAAAATTGATATCACGATATATTTCTTAATTTCGGTCGATACGATATAATTCCGATATCGATAAACACTGCATTATAAAATAGTAAAATGCTATTTAATACCATTTTAAATGGAGTATTATATCACACCACAGGGCGGGTCAAGTACTGTATTTTGTATCAGCTATTCACTTACACAATAATTTATTGTTATTTTACTTCTGCATTTATTCTTCGATGTATTTATTTTTTCTGCAAATATTGATTTATTTCTATATTTATGTATTTATGTATTTTTCCCCAACATACAGTAACATCTATCCTGTATTTTCTTTGTCTCACCCGTTTGTCGAGGGTGCTGCTCCGCTCTTTCTCCTCACTGATGAAGATCATACTGCCACGACCGGGTTTCTTCTTCTTCTTGGATTTCCTCAGTTTCACCTGGAAGAACAGAAAGAGTCACCTGAGCATGACTATGTCATCATGGAGAGCTGCAATCAATGGTCCATTTTTGTGATTGGACGAAAAATGTCACAGCAATATCTTATTACATCATATAAACATATCCGCTCGTCAATGCAAATCAATCAATCAAATAATATAATGACATACAATGACAGTGCATCTCAACTTTTGTTATAAACTATATTATCGCACAGCTCTTTATATAAGGTTGGATTTATAAGTATGTTCAACTTTTTCCGCATACATACAGTATGTATACAATATATACTATATGTGACCCTTAAGTCGCTGGGGTATATTTGTAGCAATAGCCAAAAATACATTGCATGGGTCAAAATGATAGATTTTTCTTTTATGCCAAAAATCATTAGGATATTAAGTAAAGATCATGTTCCATGAAGGTATTTTGTAAATTTCCTACCGTAAATATATCAAAACTTAATTTTTGATTAGTAATATGCATCGCTAAGAACTTCATTTGGACAACTTTAAA